TAAACCTTAAACCTTAAACTCTAAGCGCGCAAAGCATAATGGGAGTACTGATTTCAAGCTTTGTAGTTGAATATTGCAGCTGTTTGTGAGTGAAATGTTTTCGCAGGCACATATTTACCATGTCTCTAAGAAATGGGCTCCATGTATGCTTTCTAAACTGCTTAAATAGTGCTCCCATTACGCTTTGCGCGCTTAGAGTTTAAGGTTTAAGGTTTTAGAGTTTAAGGTTTGCAAAGGACAACCTTTTTTATTGATTTAGCTGTATATATATATATATATATATATATATATATACATGCATGTTTCGGCGTTCTACGCCTCGTCAGTGCAGCTTAATTCATAATTGGTACATGCACGTTTAGATACGTGAGACACTCGTATTTAGATCACATGAGCTTGCTCTCACCAAGGCATGTGGTATAACACGACGACATCAACGCATTCAGACATGCGCAGAGTGTAATGGGGCCAGAGTTCTCAAACGACCACAAGGGAAGTGAGCTTTGCATTATATACTTTTTTAAACCTAACCACTAACCAGCAACACTATATATAGGTCTTCCTATACTGTATTAGTCTATATAGGCCAATTGGATTATCCATCTACTCCAATATTCAGTTTCAACCAAATGAATTAGTGCAGAAAAAAATCCTTCAAGTTCACCTTGTCATATCCCGCTCACCCAAAAATCCACATATACAAGAACCTATGATGCACTAAATATGTATATCAAGATTGTTGCACGCGGTCCGGAAAGAGGCACATGTTCAGCCGCGCAGGTCGAGTGAACGCGTTTGAACATACGTTGTGCGTTTTTTACGTCCGCTTTGATTCCAAACCGCCATAAAACTGCATGAAGGAACTCTGTAAATAATGCAGATGATTGGCACAAAAAGGACGGCTATTTAGTCAGTTACAATACATTATACGAGTGTCACAGGACAATGGCAAGAATGTTTCCTTTAACGGAAGTGTTTTTATAGCGTGATAAGATTATAGATTGGTTATGAACATTTGCTTTTTTAGAATGCAATGATGATTATGGACTAGAAGAAATTCAAAGCCTGAGTACATAAAAAAGCCTTGTTAGTATAAACAATTTGTGTTTTTAAATAGTTTTATCCGCAGTGACATTGCAGTGTTCAGATAGTGGTATCCAGTCCTACAAGCCGAGCGCTGATCTCCCACAATTTCTTGGCTGCTTCGTCATCTTGAGCTCCCCTTGACGGCTCCTTCACTTTACAATCAACAAAATACAAGCCACTTACACCTTCGACCTCCTCAGAAACTGCCAAATGAATATTTGTCTGCGCTCCTTCCGTAGGAGTCTTGAAAAATAGAAGCATAATTCGCATAGCTATTAACTCAAAATGAAGTGAATTAGCTGTTACACCCGTGCCTTCTAAACGCTTTGCCAGCTCTCTCGCGAAAATGATATTAGCCAGTTTACTTTGACCATATGCATCCCATTTTCTATAATACTTGACGACACCACAACAATACGGGACGGCTGTGAAGACTTTAATATATCAATAAGTAAGTTTGTGAGTAAGAAATGTCCGAGGTGGTTCACTCCCATCTGCATTTCAAAGCCATCTTGGGTCTTCTGAAGCTCTGATGGAACCATCACTCCAGCATTGTTGATCAAGACATGTAACTCAGGCTCGCTCTTGCTGATATCTTCTGCCAATGCACGGACAGACGCGAGGGATGCAAGGTCGAGCTGTTTTAAAACCAACTTGGAACTACCGGTCATCTCAGCGACATCATTTAAAGCATCTTCTCCTCTCTTCATATCACGACATGCCATGATTATTCGAGCACCTCGTCTTGCTAAATCTATCGCAGTTTCTTTACCAATGCCGGCATTAGCACCTGTGATGAGGACTGTCTTGCCGTCCATCCTTGCTTGGTTCGTACAAACACCGCCGCCAATATATCTTCGAAACATACTGTACACAACCGGGAGGGAAGCCACACCAGCAACAGTAGCTACTACACGAAAGCGATTCATTTAACGCCCGACTGATTTGAAAGCTTGTCAGCAATAGGCCTATTTGCACACCACCTCATCAGTTATTCATTCATTCATATAGATGTGTGTATTTTTGTATGAGCGCTAACCAATAATATGAACCACCGCTTTTGACGTTTAACTTTCCCCCCTTTCCCCAGGGGTAAATAGCCGGGCGGAATTAGTGCCCTCGCACGGCGCTCCGCGCCGCTTGCTCGGGGACAAAATTTGCAAACTTTGAAAGGCTATAGTTTCCGCATTTTACAACATTTCGCAACCAAACTTTGCAATTTTGCTCATTTTAGTATGCTCTTTCTAGCTGTGGTGATTTATTTGCATCTCTTTGCCTATAGTTTTAAAATTAGTCTGTAATGGGAATTGTCTATTAAGGCCATGTTACACGACACAATCCTTGCCGCAACTCGCAACGCAGAAGCGACGTCATCAGAAATGTACTCTGGTTCCAGAGGTTTATTTTTATTATTTTCATTGCGAAGGGGAGAGGAAAAATAAACCTCTGGTTGAAAGCGGCAATTGATTCATCGAGCCGCGCCAATCAGTTTGAATTAGGGTCAGATCCCGACTCTGTTCTGTCTCCTGATTGGATGATTGTATTAAAGAATGATTGGATGATTGTATTAAAGTATTAAAAGATGATTCAAATAAAACATCTATAACCAATCGGAGAGCTTTAATACAATCATCCAATCAGGAGACAGAGTCAGGATCTGACCCTAATTCAAACTGATCGGCGCGGCTCGATGAATCAATTGCCGCTTTCAACCAGAGGTTTATTTTAAACCTCTGGAAATAAACCTCTGGAACCAGGGTATCAGAAATGGTGAGCATGATCTACTCTGCCGATATTTTTCGTCGTTTACTCTGGTTTACTCTGCACCATGTACATGGTTTACTCTGCCGATATTTTTCATCACATTTCTTTAATTTTTCATCCCCTATAAAGAGTATGTTTGTAGAGAAAATGTCGGCAAAGTAGAATGCAGGCCATGCTCACAATTTCTTTGCGACCTCTTTTTAGATAACATGGCTTTGTATCCGCGGGCACTGTCTGCATGTGGCAACAATGATTGTCTCGTGTAACATGACCTTTAAGGCTCCGACAGCTAACTACTGCATTGTAAAAAATCTCCTGAGAATTAAAGCGGCAATGACAATGTCACGTTGTTACTGCATGCGCATCTAATAACTGGGTAAACTGAATAAAGTGTTTGCCAACACGAAAATAAATATTTCATTTGATTTCGGTCTTCTTGTGAGAAACAATTGCAAAAGTAAACTGTATAGCAATCCTGTCAACCGAATTCTAATTGGTTTAGTTTTTGCATGGTGTGGATTAAGAAACATGACTCCTTGTTACACTGGCCTGTAGGCCAAGTGTCTTAAATCCCTCTTTTTCTGTTTTCGACGAGAAATGGAGTTTGCGTTAGGTCATCGCAGGCTCAGGGTGCAACGTCCAGTGACATATTCAGTTCAGTTTCAAAATGGCGGCTTTTCACTGAGCGATTTAATATATATTTCACACAGTTTCGTTGAATTTTCAAAGAATTGTGCGGGTTTCCGATGGATTTTACGTTGTGTCGCACTCTGGCCTTTCTTGCGTGTTGAATTAGTGTGTTTTTCTTTGTGTAACGACTCGAAAACCCCGAAATTTGGACCCAGCGAATTTATACAATATAGTGGAATGTCTCTGGTGGAATGTAAACAAGGGCAAGTTAAAGGTTTGACAGATTGACTTTTCAATTAACAAGTATCATATATACGTTGTACGTAGGCTCATAAACATGCGTTGTACTCTTGTATTTATTTGCATAATTATAAATTTGCACCTAATTACATTAATTTGCGCCAAATTACTTTCTAATTCATCAAGTATTACTATAAAATGTATGTTTTCGATTGTATTCAGCGAGGTGGCGTTGCGTGCGGCGAATTGAAACGTGATACGGTTTGATTTGTTTTTTGGAACAAGATCCAACTTTCCCCCCACTTTTTTAATTCTCAAATTGTTTATTAGATGTTTACTGGTTGGGGTTAGAGAAGGGCTTTGGGTTGGGATCAATTTATCTTATAAATGGAAGCAAATTGGCGTATTTTTTAGAAGAATCGTCTACGTCTATGAACTTTTTAGCACCTGAAACTAGCCATATAACGGCATTAAAAATCAAGGACTATAATTTATTCGCTATTATTGGCCCGTCATTATTCACGGTTGGTAGTTGATCATAGTATTACAGTGGGCCTGGCTTGTCAGGTTGAGTTGCCCGTAGCCGGAGAGTACGTCTGAGCCGGCGTCTTGGTATATTATGGTTGATAGTTGCTGATCATGATTGTATTTATTGGTTGTATTTATATGATCCAGTATCCCTATGATCCTGTATCCCTATCTACTTCTCTACTACACATTACACCCAGTACCACGAAAGTTGCCATTTTTCAGGCCAGTGTGAACGCCTGAGCAGGCGTCTTGTTTAATCTTTAAATCACACATGGTTTGAACAACACTATACTGATATACAGTAGCAATTATATAGCTAATGTTCAACGACAATGCGCAAAAGAATGATTGTACATCATGTTCTACCTTGAAGTCAGTACTCAGTAGGTTCATGCATGACTTGAAACTATTTTTCATGCATGGTTTTGGGTTGGATTAGGGATGCACTTATATGTATACTTTATATTGGCAAATGAATGAATTCAAAGAAAAAAAGCCGTCCGATGCCGTGTTATTATTATTATCATAATATTTTGACAGGGGGCCTAACTCGCAGTGCGATTTTCAGTAGGGCCCTGATAAATGGCGCTGTACGCCGTATTTGTTTCTGTTTTGCTTCCAAGAACAAGAGTGACGAACTACAACACGAAGTTCCTTTATACAGGGTGTCTAAAAAAAACGCTATGGAAATTCAACAGGCTGTTGTGCATCACAAACTTAATTAAACAATTCAATTTTTACATAGGACGAAAGAGCTGTTATTTAGCTTTTCTATGATGATACCTTACTTAAACCGTAACGATGAGAAATGGCCATAAACTCGTCAAATAAAAAAATTCGGTCGAAATCACATTCTTCCACCGTTGGGAATTGAAAATACATTAATTATGCAAAGTTAATCAATCCAAAAGCACCGCGAGTCAGCTGCAAGGTACTTGTTTCGTAAAACGTTTTGATTACGAATGTTCTCTGTTCAGGGGTTATTGAACCATGTTTAATGCAATAATGGACGTTCTTATGGTCTCACTGAGACGAAGATTGAGGAGTTGAGCTTATTTTAGATAATTTAACATTCAATTTTAATTCCCTCTTGGGAATTGTTTATGTTTCGTTTTCCATGCAATTCCCAACGGTGGAAGAATGTGATTTCGACCGGCAATTTTTATTTGACGAGTATGTGGCCATTTCTCATCGTTACGATTTAAAGAGTATCATTGAAAAGCTAAATAACTGTTCTTTCGTCCTATGTAAAAATTAAATTGTTTAGCCACGTTTATGATGCACGACAGCCTGTTGAATTTCCATAGCGTTTTTTTTAGACACCCTGTATAAAATATAAAAAAATAATTTTTAATGATATTTACCTTTCTGGCGAACGTGATCCTCCAACATCTCTACCTGTAAGGTCGTAAAAATACTCTTTATAATATAGCTACAACAAATTTCGACATAACTATACAATATGTAGTCAAATAAAACATAGTTGATCGGTCAATGTTTCGGTGCTTTGTCAAATCTTGGTCATTGAATGCAACTACAGAACAAACATTCTATGTCAAATGTCATCTAAAGTTATCTTTGTTCAATTCTATGCTTCTGTAAACTAGAACAATAGAAACTAGGCATGCATGTGAGTGATCTAAAGTTGTGAATTGGGTAAACAATAGACCTTTCCAGTAATTACGTCACGACTCAAACTGTTTTCAACTTGGGACGACCTAAATGGAATGGATTTTAAGTTTGTTTCTCACGGGTTATGGTCAGAAGAGCAGAACATCCTTCTTCAACGCATGCATAATAAAAAATAATTTTGGATTCTGACCAATAAATGTGGAAATAAGCTTAAATACGAAAACGAGGCTGAGGGGCCAAGAGGGGGCATGGTCCCTCAGCCTCGTTTTCGTGTTTAAGCTTATTTCCACATTTAGTAGAAAAAATCCAAAATTCTTTTTTATACATGTGTTGACGAAGGATGTTTTGCTTCTCTGACCATAGTCCGTGAGAAACAAACTTGAAATCTGTGGCCCTAAGTTGAAAACAGTGTAGGTGTGACGTAATTGCCGGAAAGGTCTATTGGGGTCTCGTCACGGCAGTGAACGCCAGAGCTGTGCCCTATGTTAGTTTTGCACAAAGATTTTGTTTTTGCAAAGATTTCGATCCGAATGCCTGGATGATCGTCAATGCAGATATATGTGCCATTAACATAATAAGATCAATAAAAATAAGTTTCAAGTATATCATAATTTAGTACCGTATTTCACCCATTTTAAGTTTGCATGGTGATTAAAAACTAGTAGCCTGACAAAACGTTACCTTTAAAATACTACAGAGTTCAGTCAATGTTTCCATGTGATTCATATGTATAATAAGTGGCCTGAAGGCATCGTACAGAATGGTGCAGAAATTCTCCAACAAAGTGCTACATGAAAAAATACGTGTGATAAATCGGATTTGAAACCTTTGCAGTCATACAACAATTTTATGGCAGCATGGGATATTGTGCTCACTAAATCACCATTACGTACACTGTTCGTTAGAGATACTGCATGATTTTAGCTCTAATATTTGATAATGTCAGGGCCGTCGCCTTTAAAGAGGTTGGTGACACCCCCTAAAAACATCTTGTCGGCAAAATAAAGGATTTTTCAGCAAAAATATTTTAGTGGTACTGATTAAAAAGTAATAGTTATAGCCAAAATGTTGATAAATTTACGAAAACATTAATGATAAGCAACACTAATTAAAAACAAGATTGTTTAGATTACGAAACCACAAAGGTTTGGTCATACAGACCTGTAGAACTGACAGTTGTTATGTAGAATTGTAACACATTTACTCATGCAATTGTCCAACTTTTTCAATATACTTTTTTAAGATGGTTCAGTACACACAGATTGAACTAATACAAACCAGATACTGCTAAGAATTCGAGACAACTACCAACGCGTTCCCGGGTTATTTACAAGTAACGAGATTGAACAAACGCAAAGAGAACTTACTGCAAAGCATGGCTAGGTTGAGTAAAAAAGTGGAAATACAATTGATATTCATCCTGACTAACACGTACTAATAAAGAACAACCATTGCGAACCTAAGAAAAAAATTATAATCTTGTCGTTGCCAATCTCGTACCCAGAGCCACTCAACTGATAGCCATGGGTACGAGATTGTGTCGTTGCATACTTGTTTCAAAAATGAGCAATGGGATCACAGAATAGACATTTACAGAAGTCAGGCCCCTTGTCGGATGTTAACTTGTTTCCATGTTTCTAGCCAGTGTGCTACGGAGAGACGGTCACCCTCCTGAAAAAATACTTGGCTTGGATCTTCAGGGGGTAAGTGCATCTCATAAGCGCACTGGCTAGGAAAATGGCGACAGCAATGCGAATGATTTGCGACTGATGGACTGAGAATACATGGTGTGGCAATACGAGAATACGGATTTTTGGCTGAGCCGGACCACTGTACCTACTATGTGTCCGGGATACTACACTAGTCAATAAGGAAGCGACGTTTTTGATGACACGTACGGCAACCGGAAGTCAATCGAGCGGTTGA